ATAAAAGAAGCAATGTGTGAGCAAAGATACTGTCAGAAAACACCGCTTCCCAACAAACTGGATCGAGGTGGTATGTCTTTGTATGCCGAAGGAGGCCGTGTGCTGGCGAGGGGGGGCACCGAAATGAAAGATGCATTTAGCAAAGTCAGATATCACTAGCCGTGAACAGACGGGGTCGTATGGTGGGTGTTAGCAGAGGTGTTCCCCGGTATCTCTCAACAGCTGCAGGCGTAACCAAGTATGCAAGATACAATAAACAGAGTGTCCAGGGCTTCATCAATCAGAGGCAGGAGCGTTTGCGTGTGAGCATCCCTGTGGTTATCATTGCATGTAACTCCATAAATAAAGAGCTGCTTTGACAAGGGGACGGCCATCGAAGGTCTTATCGACTCTCACCAACCACCAGGGCAAACAAAGATTCCCACTACATTTATGAATGGGGAGGTCCCTGAAACAGGGAGGGGGGGATGGAGTTTGCTTTTGAGACAAGTAAGCCACATTTCCTTCCCACTGACAGCTTCTTTTTGGAGTTCATGAATAGCAAGGGAGAGACAAATGCGCGGCACACGGCGCAGGGGTGGGAGTGAGGGTTTGCATAGTAATCAGAAAATATCAGGGGGATGCAACTGGACCCATTTTGACAAGCCAAGGCGAGAAGGTGCAGAAGCCGCTGAAGTGAAATGGGCTTGTGCTCCGGTCTATCATTATCAAGAGAGCACAAGCTTAGCAAAATGCAGCATATAAATGAAGCACCGAATTGACCCTAAGAAGGACTGTTGGAATGGGTAAAATTGTTCCATCAGTGCATGGGGTGATGTATGCATTAAGCTGGATGCTGGTCCAGCAGCGTTTCAGGAGGATCTCCCCAGGTGTGACCATGCCTAGTCCTGCTCTTGCACCTTCCACTTGAGGCAGAGATGCCTGGGGCTGGATGTAGCAGGCCGGACAGCAGGCAAAGCAGGGCCAGTCCATGACAGCCCATGCACAAACCTGACTGCATTGGCCGGTGAACCTGGCAAGCCAGTATTTTTCGCTCACAACACCATCTGCAGAGCATCTGGCACGTGGGTTTTTCCTCCACCCGTTTGCTGCCATCTTCCAGCATCTGCCACCCAAGATGACTGCTTCACTGTCTAATGGAAGGGCCAGCCTCAGGCACTCTTGAGGAATGGCTTTCCCACACAATGGGCATTGCTGGGCAACCGTGGGCTTGGGAAACACAAAACCCATATGCTTTTGCAGGAGAGAGAACCACGGGGATCTGCAACAAAAGGTTGCAGCGTATCCTGACTCCTCAACAAGAGGGTTCCAGCCAGACATTCCTTCTGATCAGGGTATTCCATGCCTCCCTTGGTTTCTAACGAACACTCAACTTTCATGGCTACTTGAACATGGTTGGTCCTCATGGGATGCGCTTTCTTGAGGACTGTGGGGAATAGCCATTTGTTTTGCATAATATACTTCTGCCTCTGGGGTTTTCCTGAACGTGCAAACCCTCTTTTGTTTTTTAGTGGGCCAATTTTGGCTGGCACTCACAACCTGCATTCATTATGACAGAGAGTGCCCTGGCAAGTTTATGTTTAGACATAATCCTCCCAAACCGAAAGGTTTCCACAGCGCTTTCATAGTTTAGGCAGGAAGAACAGAAATCCGAGATGGGGGTTACTTCCTTTTGTTTTGTCCAGGAACAGAACTTAGTCTCTGTCATTGGAAGAGAAGCATTTATCCTGCCAGGTCATAAAAAGGGGTCTCTCTGGTCCAGTGTTCTCCTCACAGTAGCCAACCAGCTGTCCACTGGAAACCCATGAGCAGGGCATGAGTGCAAGGGCACCCTCCCACCCATGTTCCACAGCAACATGGGCATCCATAGGCATACAGTCTCTGATCCTGGAAGTAACATATAGTCATCAGAACTAGTAGCCATTGATAGATTTCTCCACCATGAATTTGTCCAATCTCCTTTTAGAGCCTTTAAAATTGGTGGCCATCAATGCATCTTGTGCAAATGAATTCCATAGTTGAATTATGTCCTGTGTAAAAAAGATGTGTTTCCTTTAAAGATGTGTTTCGCCCCATCGGTGAGGGTGTTCAAAGATAGGCTAGACGTGCACATGGTAAGTATGTCATGAGCGGAGCTGGTGAGAGCCGGGGGTCAGACTAGATGGGCCAAGAGGCCCCATCTGACTCGCTCTGTTTCTATGTTTAACGGGATCACTCCAGGTTCTCCCCAGGGAGAAAAATGTCTTCCTATCTACTTTCTACATACTAAGCATAATTTTGAACACTTCTATCATGTGAATGTAGTAAAAAGGAGAAGTCATTATATTTTCCTGTGGACAAATTCTTGGAAGCCTATTGGAAAAGAAGAGGAAATCATGTCAGATACTTGCGGATTTCCAGGGTGGTGAGCTGCGAGCCATCCATTTCAGGAAATTGGTGTGGGGAGTCTCCTTCATAGGTGGGCAAAGGACAGGCCAAGATCTATTTACTGGATTACAGTCTTGGGTGAATGAATGGGAGACTCCCAGCCTGTACAGAAACTTGAGATCTGAGTATTAAAAGAGTTGAGTATTAGAAATTTATAGTATGGGGTAGAGTCAGACTCCATCCCTTGGACATTCCTTTGCTCTGCTTTTCAGTTTCAGTTTTGTTCTCTACTCATTTAGCAATTGAGTAGTAGATTTGCCTGTGGGAAGATATAAAGGTTTGTTTATTTTCCTGTTATTATGTTGATAGACTAGGAATGGGTGTTTCTTGCTAAAGGGTAAAACAAACTGATGTCTTAAAGTGATCTGAAAAAATCTCTACAGCAAGTTACCTTTTACTCTTTAACAGCTCTTACTATATGCACAATAATCATGGCTATTTTCTTCTTTTTCCTGAGTTTTTGTTGGCAAAGGATACAGCCCTAGAGGAATAAAAACGCTGCTGGATCCAGTACAGCTGGCTGGCTGGATAGCTGAGGCCTAATTTCTGATATTCCCAATGCATGCGGCTCAACATGATGCTTTTCCAAGCCCTTTCCTCTGAGCAGGTGCATTGTGAACCTGCTATTCAGATAACTTTCCTGTGTGTTTAACAACATTTGTGTAAGTTCATGAAAGAAAGTTGATTGTGCAGTAAATATTTCACCAAGCAAGGACCCAATCCTGTGTGAGTTGAAGTGGAAAACAGCATAGAGAAATCAACCTCTGCATCCATTTTTAACTTTTTAGCTATACTGTAAATGATTGTGCCTGTTTTCTATCTCTTGGTATCCCCTTGTTCTCTAGGAATTTTTTAAAAAAAGATGTTAGTCATTTAATTCTCTGTATTCATGCTATTGTTCCTGTTAGCTTAATGTTTACCTAGGCACCTATCTGGGTCAGGCATTATTTCAGTTTTGCACACCTGGCCTTCCCATCCTGTATGTCACTGAAGGGGGGCTTGGCCAGTGCTCCCCCTCCACCCCAAAACACCGGACCCAGAAATGCGGCTGCCGGGTCTAACAAGAAGTCTGGCTACGGGGCTACCTGTACTTCTGCTTTGCTCCCAAGGGCCGGCTGATGGACCACTGAATTTTTAGTCTGGAAAAAAAAGCAGATCTTGCTCTATCTTGGAATATAGTGCAGCATGGAGGAAGGAACGAGGGGCTACGACGGTGGGGAGGTGGTTTGGGGCCCTCTGAAGACCAAGCTTCTCCAAGGACTCTTCCCACTTGATAAAATGAGAAGGGGAGAAGTAAGGAAGCCTTCCTTGAAGGTGAAGAGCTCAGAGCTCAGCTTAGCTCTAGACCAGCTGTTCCTCCCAGTACTAAGGAGGGCGATGGGAAAGAGCGTAGGGCACTTCTCCAGCCCCACACAAGGAAGGAGCCCTTTTTCCTTGTGGGTTGTGCCTTTTTTAGAATTCATGCCTGCAGACAGGGGCTTCTGTAACAGATCGTCTGAAAGTCATCCCAGGAGACATTTTGGCTGGACAGCAGAATAAAAAGATACTTCAATTAAACAGGATATTTCAAATCAAGTTAAGAATGCCCTCAGCTCTTAATATGTGGATATCCTTAAATAGTATAGTGGCAATTGTGTGGACCCTCTGAAGTGAGGGAAATGCACCTGGCTTAAGCTCAGCATGTAATAGATCCGTGGAGATATCCCTGGGAAACTTCGGCTGGGAGTGAACCCTCTGCTCCACCTCACTGCCTGCCTTCCCCTTGCCGTTCAGATGCATGCTGAACTGGACATGTTAACTCAGTGGGCATTCTGCACAGGCTTGGGCGCACTGTCTTCAGCCTGACTCCACAGGATGAACATTGGAGCTGAAAACTGAAACTGGGGCTGACCTGCTGCTGTTAATCGCTGTTTGCTGCACCCCCTCCCCACTCTGTCAGACCCACGGTTGCAGATACAGCATATCCTTGGGGCCCCTTTTATTTATTTCATTCATATCCTGCCCTTTTCTTTTTGAAAGAGCTCAGAGCATCATGGTTCTCCCCCTGCTCTCAGTCTGATCCCCACAACAACCCTGTGAGGTAGGTTGGGCTGACAGTCTGTGCCTGGCTCGAGGGCATCCAGTTGGGCCCAGGGCTGAGCCTAGACTTTTAGTTAGAACCCACATCGCCCAAGCCCCGGTCCTGGGCTTTTCCCCACTGCGCTAAACTGGCTCTCACTGCCGATCCTGCGCGGGGGCGAGAAGGGGGCGCAGAATAGGGTGCCAGAGGCGCCTTCCCGTCGAGCCCTGGAGCGCAGCTCCGGCGCCCCCGCCTCCCCGCCCCTCGCCCTGCAGAATCAGCCCCGCTGCACTTGCTTCCGAGGAGACGCGCGCAGGCTGGGGCTGCGAAGACGAGGGACGGGGCGGCTGGCCAGCCCTTCCCCGTGCAGCCAGCCCGCCAGCCAGCCAGCCAGGCCGGCCGGCGGACGAGCGCCCCCGCCCAGCGCTCCCGGAGTTCGCGCCGCCCCCTCGAGGGGAGGCGTCAGACCGCCTGACCTTTGCGGCCGTCTCGCCCAGCCTGCGTATAAATGCAGGTCCGACGACGCGGAAAGGAGCGCCGCACTCGCACCCGCACCCGCACTCGCACTCGCACCCGACTGGTGGCGGCAGCCGCAGCAGCAGCAGCAGCAGCAGCAGCAGCCGAGGCCAGAGGACCGGAGGCGGCGGCGGCCCGCGCCTTCCCCGCTCGCTCGCCCGCCCGCTCGCCCCGTCCGCTCCAGTCGAGCGCAGTGCGCCCCGTCGAGGCAGCGCGACGCTCCATGGCGCGCCCCGCGCTCCAGCTGCTGCCGAAGCCCCGCCGGCTCTTCTCGCTCCTGGCTCTCGCCGCCGTCGCCCTGTCGCTCGACGGGCGCGCCGCCAGCGCGGCGCCCTTGCAGGGCAGCGGCACCCCGATGGCCAAGATCTACCCGCGCGGCAGCCACTGGGCAGTCGGTGAGTGCGCGGCCGCGACCGCGATCGCGAAGAGGCTCGGGCACGGGTCCCGCTCCCCGACGGCCACCTGGCCGGCGGGCTGCTTCTTATCCGAGGCACCTCGGCCGTGAGGCAGAACCGACGCGGAGAGGCGCCGGTCTCTGCCGCGACGCGCTTGCCGTCTCGATTTCGAAGGGAAACAAGGGGACGGATGAGTCTTGGGTCATAAGGAGGGGGTGCGAGATCCGGGAACAGAGTGGGACCTTAGGTTCGGGAGGCTTGCCCTGGTCTGAAATGGGCGCGGGGATGTTTTTAAGTTTCTAAACTGTTTTAAATCTCGTGTGCACTAACGTTGTTGTTATTATTAATAATATATATCCCGCTGCTTTTCCTCCTGCAAGGAACCCATGAGTCTCCTGTCCCTTTTATTTTCACATCAGCCCTGTGAGGTGGACTGGCAGTCGCCCAATGAGCTAAATGGGGACCATAATCACGTCTCCAGAATCCCGAGTGCAACATCCCCTCCGCTCCACTGTGCTCTGATGTCCATTCAGTGCAATTGTGTTGTTTAGCTTTCTTTGAGAAAGACAGCTAGGAGCAGTCATAATAATAACAGTCTCCAGAACTTGGGAAAGTTGGCTCTCTGCTCCTATCCATCCCTCCAGCCGGATAGCTTGGCAAGCCTCTGGACCAATTCTTCCTGGTCCAGCTCTTGAGTCATCCCCTTTAGCAGCCTCCTGTTTCTCCAAGCTCAGGTTGACATCCTTACCTGCCTGTCCATCACTTATTCCTTCCTCCTCTCCTTCCTCTACACTTATGTCAGAATGTTTAACATGGGGGCATCCTTGACACAAACCTGAGATTGTAGCTTTCCCTTTTGGAAGAGAAAGCCCTGTTTCATAAGGCACATAATTAATTTAGCAGAATTGACTTCCCTGCGATGAGTGATATGTAGAACAGTCCTCACCGGCTCTTAGCCACAGTGGTACAGTCAGGTAAGACTCTGGACTTTGTGGTGTTCTGCCATCCACCCCTCTTAAAACGGACAGGAGTATTACTTCAGAATGTGGTATGCCAGCGTTGGCAGGGGGTGGGTCTTGCTCATTCGGCTGAGTGGGCCCCCCCAGCCTCTGCCCAGAGGTCCTGCCTTGATCCAGATCGGCCGTGAGAAATGGGTCCTGCCAATAGTAATACTCTTGTTGCATTGTGGAGTGGTATCTCCTCTCTTCTTTCTGATACCAGAGCCCCTCCAGACTGGTGAGAGATTCAGGACAGCTAAAAGGAAGTCTTCCACATACCATGTAGTTAAAACTGTGTAATTTACTGCCACAGGAGGTTGTGTTGGTCACCAGATGGAATGGCTTCAAAAGCATTCTGGACAAATTCACAGGACTATCAATTGCTGCTGGTCCTGATAGTAGATGTTATCTCGAGTATTAGAGGCAGCGTGTCTGTGTACCCCAGTTGCTGTTGCACTCATGTCCTACTTGGAGGTTTCCTCCAGACAGCTGGTTGCAGAATCCTGGACTAAATCAACTCTTGGTCTGAGCTGGCATGGCTCTGCTTATGTTGCGATGGGCTTGCATTCCTGCTCAGTGTTCTGGACCGCCATTTAGGCAACCAAGTCCCGTGTTCTATCCCCTACAACAATTCCATTCCCACTGAACACACTCCGTTCTCATTGAGCTGTGACTTTGGTTGCCCCTAGGACTTTTATCTTGAAGGTATTTTTCACAATTATGCAAAAGCTGGGGTTCCTCCGAAGCCTGTGGATCGCTCAGTTTTGCACATGGCTGGTGCCTTTTTGACTGTGCTCAGAATAAATTTTCTGTTGGCGTATAGGACAGGAATATGGCGCCTGTTTTATTAGAGCACTTTTGGTGTAAGAATGCATGAAGAAAAATCAAGATAGTACAAAATTGATTTTTCAGTTGAGTTGTATCTCTGTTTAGCTTTGCTATCCTGAACAGGGTGAAACCCCAAAATCCCAAGAATCTGACACTGGTTCCCACTACCACCCTTAAAGTACCATCTGTGATTGACAGGAAACACTGCTTTCCTTCTCAGCACATCTTTATGGGTGGAGTAGAGGGTCTAATCTACTTTAGAGATCTTGATTACAAAGCCGGTAGCTTTGCTGGATTTAATAGCATGAGGTGCACGCTGTTTCATGTGAATTCCAAGTTTGTGAATTGCAAATTTGGCTATCCTAAATGCACTTTCCTGGGCTTATATCCTAATGACTGTAACAGAATTTGTTTTGGAGTAAAGTGGTCTAGGACTGAACTGATAAGGTTTGGATGTATGTGCAAAGGGGATTGCTGATTTGCCAAACAGCAATTTTGGCTGCAATTAAATGATGTTTTATTTGCCAAAGGAGTTGTCCCACCAAGAAGCGGGACTGTAACTGTTTCCAGATGCTATTGATTTTCATCCCAAGTCATAGCAAGACGACAGAGAAGAGAAGGTCAGAAGCACTTCAGAGAAATGGTCACTATTTCTGATGGCTCATTTTTATTTTAAAACAACAATAATAGCTGTTGTGCTTTAGTGACTGGCAATAGGTTTGAAGTGAGATGAGAAGGGTTCAGGAAGAAGAATCTAGGAGCTATGGCCATTACTGAGCCCCAAGTCAAAAAGGCATGCTCCCCTTTTTGTGCATGAGAACTAGAAACTTGATTATGCTGTAAAAGGCACAAGCCTATGGAGATTTATACAGAAATAAGCCTTGAATGCTTGGAGCTGTAGGTTGCTGCCATCTAAAGTAGCAAAGAATTGCCACTTTAAAATGTTTTTGTTTTGTTTTGTTTTTGTTAGTAAACGTGATCAGAGAAATGAACAGAAAGATCAGGGCCATCAGAACTTTCCCCTAAACAAACAAATCCTATATCCCATGAAACCAGATTGTCCATCACAAAGATGAAATCCTGTGGCACCTATACATAAGAGTAACTTGTATTTTCGTTGTAATTTGCTTTGTTCCTGCTTGTCACATAGAATGGCACAGTGCTGTCTAAAGAGTAGCAACTCTACCCTGTGGCTGCCTAAATACTTATTCCACCACCCCTTTGACTTCTCTGCTCTAACCAAGCACTACCAATCTGCTTCTGGATATACGTATCTTTGCAATCATGAGAGCTAGAAACTTGTGTTGCTTTCTTGAAACAGACATTTCTGCAAAATTCAAGAAAACTCATTTCTGTGCCCAGTATCATGTTTTGTATACGTGCATTTTGTACCTGTGACAGTGATGGTCCCCATTGCTTTGCTTCACCATTCTATCCAATTCAAGCATTCCTCACTGGAAACTAGGATCACAGCTGCTGGCATTAATTACCTGGCATTCTGCATTATCCTGTAGGTCACTTCATGGGGAAAAAGAGCACTGGAGAGTTTCCGTACGTATATGAAGAACAAAATGCGCCTCCTTTGTCCTCAGTACTTGATGAGGACGAGCTGCTGGGAGACTCTTTGCACTGGAGAGAGATGTTCAAGCAGTTCCTCCGGCTCCTAGAGGGGAATGAAAGCCAAAACGCCCACATCCTCAGGGAAGACGTGCCATTTTCCACCAAGGGCGCTTGGGAGGCAGAGGATAAGAAGAGCTTCAAAGACGTAAGTGTAACGACCACAAATAGTCTCTGGGACTCTGTCAGTTCAATTTGTTTGCTGGGAAGACCATCAGATCTTGCAAACTGCGACTCAGCGGAGGAGAAAACCCCAGAAGCTCGAATCACAACATAACTAATTTTCAAGTATAATAATGAGTTCTACAAGTGGCTAGTACAAGACGGCCCAATAATGTGTACTTATCAGCCTAATAATGTATGTAGCATTTATGAAGTGCTTTCAGAGGTCAATGCACTTATAAGGCAGAATCTTGACATCCCTACAACATCCTTTTAAGGTAGGCCTGTATGAGTAGCTCCATATTGCAAATTAGTGAACCAAGGCCAGGAGAGAAGCAGCTTGCTTAAAGTCTGCTCAGGTCCTATGGGCCTCCATCAAGATTCTTATGATAGCCACTTATCACCACATTTGTCATAATGAGTTGGTTGGCCAATGAACCAGAGGTGGGAACCCTCCTGGCCCTCTGCGGGTTTCAGTCTGATCCTCTGGGGTCACATAGCCATGCCCCTTCCCCTGATCTCATCTGCTCTCCTCCCCAGTCATTGGCTGCTTTCCAGGCTGGGTTCCCCATTCTCCAAGGCAGCCATGTTTCTTCTAAGACTTGCTGACCAGCAGAAAAAGCTTTAGCTACAATATCCTGGTATGTTTTTATTTTGGCTCTGCCCCTTTTGCCCCACCCGCTGTTGGAACATGGACCCCGAGGGCTCCTCCAAAATTTAATTCGGTGCTCATCCCCACAATAAACTGTTCACTTGCTGAGTTCTGATTGCCTCAGCGCAACACTGAAGTAGTTCCCACCTTCCAGCAGCCCTGATGAGGATTGCTCTTCCCTTAGTACAGCTAGTCATGAGGAAACAGTATTCCAAGCTTCACTGGGATGTTCTCGGGAAGCCATCGCATCCGCTTTCTCCCCAGCAGCCCTAACCAGGATCCACGTCCTGACGCTGTTTGTAGCAACCTGGACAAGTGGGTGGGGAATCCGTGGGCTGCATGGAGAGCCATGGAGGGCTGTGGGTCATAAATGGGACATGGGCTTCCCACCGTCAGGCTACAGCAGAAACCACCCACGAGTCCATTAATTTTGGTCCCTTTCAAATTCTCATTTCCCTCCACTTCAGCCCTCTTTACCTCTGATTTTGAGAATTTCTCCAGTGTTAAATTTCATTCCAAACTCATTCTGAGCATTAAGAATGCTTCTTTTGTTATGACCTGTGTGAACATTCATAAGCAGCTTGGTACACCTTTGGTAACTAGTGTACCAAAGTGCATCAATATGGCTTATTTTATTTATTTATTTAAAATATTTATATGCCGTCCTAATCGCAAAAAAGCCTCAGGACGGCTTATGCAGTGATGGCAGTTGAGAAAGGATGTGTGTTGAGGGAGACAACTGTTGGACATAAAAACGTATTAAACTGTTCCTTGGCTTTTGAAGTCAACTTTGCCCAATATTATTCTTTCTTTCTTTTTCATCAGATGATGGATTCTTTGCTGCAAGTGATGGATAGAAAAGAAACTACTCCAAGCTGAAGTGACTTTGACCCAACACCAAAGGCATAGAATAATATCTTTAAGAGACTATGACTTTTCATAAACATTTTATTGTATATGATAACAGATAAATTATCTTTTGTGTTAAAAACAATTTTCCTTTGGTGTAAAATAACCTGTGCACTTGTACGCCTAACAGTGACTGCATTCTTTAGCGGCTTTTTCCTTTCAAACCGCATTTTTTCTTGTTTGTACTGCTTTGTTGTACATAATTGTCGATGAAGGGTCTTCCAATTCTCTGATGGTACTTTGCCAGTTCTCTCTCAGATCACTTCATCTTTTACAACCATCCAACATCTCAACATTCACAATAAATAAGTATATATTACACACACACACACGACACAGAGGTTTGAGTTTTCATTTCTCTGAGAGTACGTAATGCAGCAACCTTGGTGCAGCTGACTTGGGTGGGTGAATGTGCAGGAGATTGCTTGGAAACTGAACCAGCCTCAGGTTCCGTGATAGAAGAACAGCAGGATAGAAAGGTGAGAAATAAACAGTAAACATGGACAATAGTGGGAAACATCAGCCCTAAGAGACTTGAGGGGTATAAATTTTACAGTACTGGAATGTAAATTTTGCAGTAGTGGAATGTAAATTTCGCGGTAGTGGAATATAAATTTCTGCAGTAGTGGAATATAAATTTTGATGCGCAGTTAGTCATGTCCCTGGGGAGTGCCAAAAATCAAGGCAGCTGTGTTGATCTATCATAACAAGTCAGTGCCGGGAGATTTAGCTCCACCAGGCCTAGCCCTCTGGGTCTTAATTGCCCATTCAAAACCAAGCCAGCTTAAAATATTTTGAATTACAACAAGGAACAATGTTTTGTTGGGGAAATGTATCCCTACCTGCAGCTATGATGAGAACTGCTGCAAAGCTCAGAGGAAGTACCGACTCCTGAGGAGGTCACTGATGTTGTCGGCATCACTGCTAAAAAAAGAAAAGCTGGTACTAAGAGACCGTATTCCCAATCACTAGGTGTGTGTCTGGAAGCTGGACAGAAAAGAAAGCCAATAGGAAGAAAGTTGATGCGTTTGAAACATGGTGCTGGAGGAGAACTTTGCAAGTACCCTGGACTGACAGACAGACCAGTGGTTCCTCGATCAAATCAACCAGAGCTTCCCCTAGATGCAAAAATGAGCTTGGTGTATGTTCTGCACATCTTGAGAAGGTGAGATGCCCCAGAGGAGACAATCCTGCTAGGGAAAGTCGAAGGCAGAAGAAGAAAAGGAAGTCCAGATAAGAGATGAAACATACAAACAGAGCGAGTCAGAAGGGGCCTCCCGGGCCACCTTGTCTGACCCCCGGCTCCAGCCGGCTCCGCTCACGACATGCCCACCACGTGCCTGTCCAGCCTGTCTTTGAACACCCTCACTGATGGACTGACTCCATAAAGGAAATCACAGCCTTGACTTCAGACCAGTTGAGCAGGACTGTCACAGGCAGGACCTACTGGAGGGCTTTCATTCATGGGGTCAGCATAAGTTGGAGACAACTTGATGGGGCAGAACAACAGCAAGCTAGAAGCCCTGGCCGTGTAACAGCACGGCCAACATGCCCCCTTCTGAATTTGCAGGCATGCGGTTCACCAGTTTGGGAAATAAATACTGAAGGAGCTGGTGAACAGACCCAGAAAGGCAGTTCTTGAGTTCTTAAGTCATTCGTGGTGCTAGTGAACTCAAGTGGGTTGGACCAACAGCTCTGAAGAAGAAAATGGGTCCAGTGAGAAAAGAGGAGGAGTGTTCAACATATTTGGGGGAATCCTCACAGTACCTATTTTTTTTTTAAAAAAATCCCGCACTATTCAAGCAACAGCGCCATCCCCAATAAATCGTCCAGTGTGGACGGAACATGTTTAGCAGCTGCAGCATGTGGTGTATTCATTGAAAAGTAGGAATGTCGGAGTGGGGAGGGCTGGAATGGAGTATTCTGGAAGAGGGCAGGATTCTATCCTAATAAAATGGAAGGAGCACAAACACAGATTCCATTCCATTTGTTTCTGGCTAATGGAGAGAAGCCAGGTGCTGATACATTGTCCAACACAGAGGTAATTTCAGGTAAGCTCACTGAAAGAGAGTAAGACTGCACCATCAACGATATATCCTTGGGCTATATTTCCTCCCTGATAATTCCAGGGAGAGAACCTGGGCCATTTAGCTGTTCCAAAGATCCTTTGTACACTTTTAAAAAATGGTGGCTGTATACCCATCATGAGCTGGATTCAGACATAATCATATATCGAACGGACCGGATAAAATGAATGCGACATACGTTTGTCAGGACCAACCTAAGTCTCAATTATTCCATTGGGTCTGCTTTAAATATGCTTAGAACTGGATCCCCCCAGGGAAGTAGGACAGAGGAAGTGGAATTAGCTTAGTAAGGGAAGCTGTAATAAAGTCAGAACAAATCTCCAACTAGCAAAGAAGGGTCACTGTCTGATAACTGGAAGTAATGTGACGAACACAACCGAGCCTAGAATGGATCACTTGCAAAATGTGTTTCATTGAGGGAGAAGGCCATCTTTGAAGGGACAGACTTGTCAAGGGCTTAGGAACCCTGAACTGGGATCTGTTAATGGTCTGTGATCTATCCTAGTGAGTTACAGGGGCTAGGCACTCAGGCATCAAAGCCGGGGGAGAAAGAAGATGTGGCATCCCACAGCAATCTTCCGCAGTCCTTCTGAAAGTCCTGGAAAAGGCCAGGCCTGGATGACATACCAGGAAGTTCTGCCATTGGCCTGACCAACTTTCTTTTCAGGGAATTGATGGGAGTGATTCTGGCCACATGGGAGTGATTCTGGTCTTTCACATCCAATTCATGCATGGCCAGCAATTCTAGCCATTGTGTTCTGTTAAAATAATGATCCAGTGAATGATTGGAAGGCATGCTCAGCATTTTGACCATTCATCCCTTCTGAATGCTCCTTCATCCAGGGCATCTTTAGGGGTATGGGCGCTGCTGTTGGGCCACCAAATCTCAGCAGCAAAAAACTGGAGGCTTGTCATCAAATGGCATTAATGCGCTTTAGGAAGGAGGATAAAGCAATGAAATGGAGCATCCCAAAAGTAAGCCTGGTCAGCCACCCTAGTCAGCCCCCGGAACAAAACCTTGCATTGCAACATTTTGTTGCAGGTCCCATCTCTGAGATACAGAGCAACATTTTTCTTCCTTCAAGCACGGCAGCTGACTTTACTGCATTACATTGATACCCCGCCTCTTTTCCTCTTGTGAGGAGCCTAAGAAAGTGGGCATAGGCTTTTATCCACAGTACAACAACCATGTAAATTAGGATAGTGCTGTGACTTGAGTTCTTCATGCCGGCAGTAACAGTCTCACCAGCACTTCTTTCCAAACGTCTTTATTTTACACGTAAGTTTCTGAGCATACCCGAAGCGAAATGTTGAACCCTCTCTGGCCCTCTTCACCCAAGGCTTTGCTTACGAATCCTCTGTGCCTGTCTTGGGCAGGCGGAACTGGGCACACCTTTGCTCCTCCGAGATCCCTATTGGGCCACCCTATGAGTGTGATGATGGATCAGGCCCACCTCTCAGGAGGCTAGTTCCCCCGTCTGATAGACTCCCCATTTCTAAATCCCTCCACTCAGGATGGTATTGCTCTTCCTCATCCCCATGGGCGGGTTGACTGCGCCCCTAATAATTCCCTAGCAGGCACAGGCAGGTACCCAGGGCCTTGGATTGGGTCCATTTCAACAACCATCTTGATAGCAGAGCCTGAGCTGTCAGCCCTGCTGGGACAGGCCAACTCCCCTTCCTACATTTCGTCCTCAGAACCTGAGCTGTCAGTCCAGCCAAAGTGATATCCCTCCTGTGCGTGCCCCTGAAGTTTGCCAGAATGAGCACACACAACAGATAGGTAAAGGGAACCAGGCCATGGCCTCCTGATTGTAGCAACCTCCTAGCATTCCGTGCAGCAGTAGCCATTGCTAATGTGATGTCTCTGCTGCCATTCCACCTCCCGCAAGTATTTTCGTCCACCTGAGGCCAGCCTTCTTGGGTCACCCACCTGGCTGATTTGTTGCTGAATGTTGAACCACCCAAATGAGGACAGTCATGCTGCATCCAGCCAAGGATCCATCTATTCCAGCATTCTGTTCACATGGTAGCCAACCTGCTTCCCAGGGGAGAGCCACATGCAGAACATGAGTGCAACAGCAAGCCCTCCCACCCATGTTCCCCTGCAACTGGTAGACACAGGCACACTGGCTCTGATCCTGGAGGCAGCACAGGGCCTTCAAGGCTAGTCCTGAATCTCTCACCCTTAAGCTTCCTGGGATGACTCAGAATTCTAGTACTATGAAAAGAGGGGAAGGTTGTCTCTCTACTCATTTCCTCCACTCACATCATAGTTTTGTACACATCCAGTGTGTTTCCCCCTCACTTGACTTTGTGCTAAGCTAAACAGTCATCATAAAATTGTTTCACACTAATGTTTTTTTCCTTCTTTTTTGCCCTAAAATGCATCACTTTACACTGAACTGCATATGACATCTTGATGGCTGTTCTCTCAGTTAGGAGAGATCTCTTTGGAGCGTTTTGCAATCCTTTTAACCACTTTAAAAAATTTGGTGTCAACAGTAAATCTGGCCACTTCACTGCTTGCTCCTACTTCCAGATTATTGATGAAAAGTTGGAAAGCACAGTCCCAGCACAGATCCCTGACTCCACTGTTCATATTCTTCCACCAGGTGAAATGACCATTTATTGCTACTCTCTTCTGTTGACAGAGTTTGCAAATGAGTTTCTTCTTAGCCTGACACTGAAATGAGGAAAAGTAGGGGGTTAGCAAGGCCTTCCAAGGAGAAGGCATTCCATTCTGTGGCCATAAAAGGCCCCTTTTTCATTTCCACATTATGTACAACTCCATATGATCAGATGAAGAGGAGAACCGCCCCCTCCCATTGACAGATATAAATACCTGGACAGGTGTGTTTCCTGGGTGTGTTTATTTTGATGTGTGTGTGTGTGTGTGTGTGTGTGTGTGTGTGTGTGTGTGTGTGTGTGTGATGGTGAACTTCTCAATGGAAAATCCGAGAATGAGAGTGTTTACTATGAGCAGGGAAATCCTCGCAAGGAGCTTCTCCACACAAAGCATTTTCTACTTTGCAGCTACTTTCCGTGATGTCTTCATCTTCCAGGGCTGCTCCTATTCTTTGCAACTATCTCCATGTTTGTGTTTTTAGGTTCTTTAGTTGAAGAAAGTCCAATATTACCTGGAAATGGCCAAATGAAACCCAAGTGTAGTTGTGCAAGTCTACCACAGTGCCCCCTTGTGGTTATGTACTAGAACGTATTAAAAATCAGGGAAAGAA